ATATACCGTTTGTGCATACTAATTAGGTAATTTGCATATCATTAACCATTTGAGCACCAAAGTCAATTCTTGTCACTATTCACAATATAGTTCCATATACCACCATCTGTGCATATTAATTAGGTTATTTGCATATCATTAACCATTTGAGCACCAAAGTCAACTTTTGTCACCATTCATAAAATAGTTCTATATACTGTCTGTGCATATTAATTAAGTAATTTGCATATCATTAACCATTTGAGCACAAAAGTCAACTTTTGTCACGATTCATGAAATAGTTCTATATACTGTCTGTGCATATTAATTAGGTTATTTGCATATCATTAACCATTTGAGCACCAAAATCAACTTTTGTCACCATTCACCTTTTGTCACCTTGTAATTTTGGATAAAACGACATGTTTTTAGACCTTTCTCTGATTTTTTTAATTTAGTGACAATAACTTTTACTCCTCAATTTGTAACAAATCTATAACAAATAGAACTCATTGTCAAATTCCACAGCAATCACACCATCCTATAATGAACACAACTCTAGCATTCCACCCTGCTAACTATAAAGAAGTATTTTTATACAACTATGATGACAAGACTAGAACTACATTCAATAAAGGCAATGTATGGCAAATAATAATATTTGGGTAAGTCATTTATTTGCATCTACCTTCATATTCATTTTTCAAGTTATGTAGGAAATAACAAAAAATTATTGCCTGTGATTCATTTTGTATTAACCAATAATTTGGTAAATATTTAAATATACTTGTCATATTTTTTTGTATTCATTTTTTATAATAATAACTTTATTACACTACCGTTATGGTAAATAAAAATGATACAAGATTAAGACAATTCTAAATACAATACAATAATAAAAATAAGAATGAAATAAAGACTGGGTTAAAAAGAAATGTTAAAAAAAAAATTACTAGTCAAGAATGAATACACTTAAAACAAATACTGATCTAAATAAAGTAGATGAAGTGATTACAAATTTTATTTTGGCTATAAGATATTTTTTCATAAAATCCATAATGAATATATAGTTCTTTTATTCAGGAAATTCATTATTAAAAAAAAATACATATTCAATTATTTTCATTACTTATTTAATAATCACTATTTGCATAAATGGCAAGGTTAATACAGTTGTGCTATGTCATCACCTCACTCATTATGTGAGAATGTTTTTATTTGACTAGCTTCAAATTTGGATATGATTTTAACAAATTCAGTAATGTTATGTTTACATGTACATTACTTTATATTTGTCATAAAATTAGTGAAAATGTGGCTTGAAAACTTGTTTCATGGTTATAGTAACTGAAGTAATGTTATCTGATTCTTTGCATACTTCTGGATCAGATGAAATTGTGGTGTAA